CCTATGTTTTTTATGTTAAAAGAATGGAAATCCGAATTTTTGATTAATTGCTATCATTTTAAAACAATGACACAAAACTTTGATAAAAAATATAAATTTTCTTTTTTCCACAAAAAGTAGAATTACGATAAAATTTTATCTAATTTAAGCTAAGATGTGTGTTCTATAGTGTGGTGAATACTAAAAACAATGCTCAAATCAGCTAAAAACATGCTGAAACTTTCGAGTTATCTGAAGAATCGTGAAAATAACCAGATTTTTTGAAGAAGTAAATACATTCGTTTCATATTATACTCAGCATCTATTTTACAGCTATTTATTAATTCTTAACTACTACAACATCTGGGAAACTTTTCGCGATGACTATAGTAAATTTAAGTGATTGATGTAAAATGAAATCTTTAATGTTGAAATAACTTTAAAAAACGTGTGAAAGCTTTATAAAAGTATATTAGAATGTGGATGAAGTGAAACCAAAACTTCTTCATAACTAGATTTTTAGCTAGCTTTTTAGCTTCTACAACATAACTTATCATGAATATGTTGTTTACATTTGGTTTTTTAAGGTTAGTTATGCTCTCTGCCTTTTATAGTATCTCAATATTGAACTCACTTTGCATGAAATTTTAATCAAAATTGGGGAATTTAACGAACAATTTGCTGGCAGAGGTCAAATTAGAAAGGCAATCGTCTAAACATTACCCCGCATTTTGTCCATGCTTACCTTTAGCAGAGACCAATTCTCTTAAGTTATTACTGTTATTTTTTTTAGCAAACACTCAATGTTTGTAATCACTCACTATCTTTGTTCTCGCAAAATATAGTTAAAAACTGTTTTATTCTGGATTTTCGTCGGAGTTTCTCGAAAATGTTATAGTGAGAGAGAATTGGGACCAACTGAAGCATTCAAAATAAAAAAACAAGCTTATCATAGAAATAAGAATATTTAGGTGTTTTTACGAAAAGTTATACGAAGAAATCTATTGGTTTTTATTTGAAAAGCTTCGATGATTTTTTTCTACAGAAGAAAATATTTTGTTATTCACTGCAATGCAAGTAGAATTGAGCAAATAAACTTAGTTATGAAAAAACTTCCCAAGGGACACTCAGAAAACTGACTCAGAAAATAGAATCCAGGTATGAAACGAATTGAAGCATTCAAATGAAAAACTTAAACATATGGTAGAAATGAGAATATATAGGATTACTTTTACAGAAAGTTCTAAGAATAAGTCTAATGGTTTTTTTCTGAAAAGCGTCGATGTTTTTTCTACAGAAGAAAATTTTTTGTGATTTACTGCAATACAAGTTGAAATAAGCAACTATACTTAGTTATGAAAAAGCTTCCCAAATAACACTCAGAAAATTGACTCTAGGTGTAAACTGTATCAATTGAACAAATTTTATCAAAATTAAAGCAAAATTCATTGAGCAAAATCTTAACAGCTCCACATAGCTCTCCAATTGTGAAAAAATGAAGCTAATAACAGAAAAAAAAAACGAATTTCACAGTATATCTGATTTTTGATTTGTACTTCATCTATTATCTTCCACAATAGCTATTTTTACTGGATCCCAACAAAAAATATGTTTTTATGTTGGATTTTTTCTTAATATTTTAATTATAACTCAAATTGAAGCAATACAATCTCAAAATTCTTAGAGAATTAAATTGAACACTGTAGTGGGGTGCTATCAGGAAACACTCAGTGGTTGCAAATCTAATGTCCAAGTTTGACGGCTCACCTTTTGGTTTCTGAGATATGGCGTTTCTTATGACTTTTCTATTTTTTTTTTCAAAAAGTTAGATATAAAATACTAATTCAATTTGAAATTCTCAGTCTTATAGTGGGGTGCTGTCAGGGTTCTCTAAGAGATTGTAAATCTTGCGTCAAATAATGACTGCTCAAATCCTTTTGATTTTTCGAGATATGGAGTTTTATATGATTTTTTCTTTTTTTTTTCAAAAAACTTAGATATAAAAAACTAGTCAATCTTGAAATTATCGACCCGATAGTGGAAATACTGTCAGAGTCCACGCAGGGGTTGCAAATCTAACATCAAAATATGAGTGCTCAATTTTTTTGGTTTTCGAGATATGGCGTTTTTTAATATTTTTGCATTATTTTTTTTTCTTCATAAACTTAGATATGAAAACAATTAACGGAACTTGAAATTCTCAACCCAATTGTGGAGCTACGTTAGGGTACACTCATGTGTTGCAGTTCCCTCCAATTGTGACTGCTCAAATCCTTTTCCAAGATGTGGCGCCTGATAAATGAGCCCAGTTCATGTTCACGGTTTAGTACATGTTTTTGGAAGCTCTTTTAACGTTCAACGTACTATTTGAAGCACCGTAGGTGGGAGTCATGCGCTAGTTTTGTTTTTATTTGGCGAGGCGACTTCTATTTTAAATGGCATCAATAGTTTTCGCTCAATGAAGGCAAATTCACTGCGGTTTATGTTTGTGGTACAGTAAAACTGGATTTAGCAGCGGTTACGGCTCTTAATAACTTTGTTCGTGGTCTTTGGTGAACAAATACTGTTTTATTCAAAATTGTTCTTAATTTTAGCTTCACCTTTGTCTTAAACTCACTTTCAAGTCACTTTAGCGGATGAAACGAAAGTTTTTCTCCTACAAAAACTGGCGCTTGAGTGAGCTTTAAGAACAGGTTTAGCTGAAGGATAATTCAGCTGATGAAGAAATTAATCAATTGATACTCAGTGCAGGTAAATGTTATTCAAAAAGTTCGTTTAATGTTTTTGAAATCCAAAGAGTCTTAAAGTGTGTAGTTTGTGATTAAGCTGTTTTAAAATGAAGGAAAAAAAGGGAGACAAGAAAAAGAGAGAATAACTTGATTGCAGAAAGAGACAGAGTGTGTGAGACAACTGATAGAAGGAGGAGATAGTGAAAAACTGAGGTTTAATAAATACGACAAGCAAATTAGACGATCAGAAAATAACAGAATTTAGACGATAACTTTCGTACAAATTGCGTGAAATTTGTTTACAAACTTAAATTGTTTTTTGGTTGAGTAAATACTGGCTTTCCAACCACAATTTTTTTTCTCGGAAGTTGCCTGATTTTAGGTTTGCGACTTTCCGCAAAATCAATACACCGTTTATTAAAATGAGTTTTGCCAGGGTGACGAAGCTACGCTCCATTTCCAGATATTACTGACTATCCTATTTACGAATAGCATGAGGAGAGAAGAAAAATACATAAGAAAATCATTACATAGAGCAGAAGAGCTTGGGAGGAAAACAACTAACAGACAGCAGAAGATTCAAAAAAACTAAGCTCCTCAAATTACTTCACTACTTGATAACAAAAATTTATGCATTTTTTGATCTTATATGTGAAAAACCATCTATCTGTTAAGAGCAGTAGGTTTTTTCTGTTAGCCCGGCTAAAGCCACACATCTGCAGCGGAAACTGAAAGCGGTTTCGAGGGACAGTCGAAAAAGCGGCAAGAACTGTGGGGGTGCAAGTAAGCAGGTTGGGCAAATTTAGGAGAGGGAGCTATCTAGGCGGAAAAGGTAAATTAAGTGACCAGACTGGAGTTGGACGAGGTTACAGCCGGTAGTTTTTGAAAGGGATTGTTCTGAAGGGTCAATTTGAGAGTAGGAATACAGATAACCTATGAGGGAGAGGCTTCGCCGAGGAACTTGGTTTCTTGCTTTGTGTTGTTAAGTTTTCACATGGGATTGCAATACTAAGGGAAGAGACTTCTAGATAATGGTTTAGAAAAATAGGAAAAGTGGCCGGAAAATTGTTAGTTTCTTCTTTGAAGCGCTACAAATTTAATGGACGTTAATTACTGATGGGACAGCGGTTGAGTGTAGTAAAGTTGAGCGAGAGCTTTTTTGTGGTTGTTTCGTTTAGCAGCTGCTTTATTGTTGATCAAGTATGGGTCTGATAGGCCCTGAATGAGTTAACAGTTATTGTTCTTTGTTCTGAACCCAAGTTGAACCTGCCTAGGACAAATTTTGTGGACTCACATCCTTCGCCTGTCCTTGTCGGTGGACTGTTTACAGTGAGCGGCAAAACTAAGACTCGGTCAAAAGTAATATTCAACTTTTTGGATTTGTGCTCGGAGAGAGGCTCCTCGTTTAAAAATATCTCATGCTTTCTTAATATCTGAGCTTTGGGAATCCCACGGCGAACTATTCTATGCGAGGATGACTATTGAGGAAAACATGCGGTGGCTTTGCGCACATATGAATAAAGTTATTGAGCCAGAGGACTGGGCCTCTTGGTAGTGTTGTGTCGTTACGAGTGTGCGGTGTCACACAATGTCGAGAGCCTTTGAAAGTATTTGCTGATTTCTTGAAACAAAGAATAGCAATTGGTCCTGGGAAGGCAGTGACATTTAGACGGAAAATTATATCAAACTCTGAACCTGAACAATTAGTCTGCTGCTAAAACAAACGAGTCTTTCATGTAGCCCAAGGCTACATAAAGAAGTTAAAGAAGGGTATAATTTTCTCAATTCTGTATAAGTAAATTTTCATTTGGTCGCCAAAAATTCGTTTTTTCTTTATACAGATAATTTTTTTTATATTTAAAAACAGTTTATAAACTTTTCGCGCATATGTTGGTTAATTTGCTAAGCTTTGTTAGGCTACTTAAGGAGCTCAACTCGATATAGTTGTGTCACTAGTGGAAATTAGGCACTAAAAAGCCAAAATTTATTGTTTTCAAGGTAAATTTTTCGGCCTGATTTTCTCAGCTAATTGATTGCAGCACATTGATTCTGCTAAAATTATTACCACGTTTGTCTTCCTAGTGTTTAGTCTAAGGTCAAACCAACTCAATAAGAGACTAACGCGTTTCAATTTTCAAGTTTCTTTCGTTTTGTGCGGATAATTTAAATGAGCACTATATCCACATTTAATGCTGCCTTAGAATATCTCATGGCTGAAGTAGGGGAATCGCTCGTATGTCGTATGTGGCGTAATATTTCTATGGTTGATTGCTCTGTTTTAATCTTTTTCAGATAGCTCTGTCTCTTGTTCTGTGAAGAGAGTCCATTTGAAGCAACATGGCCAATCCCACAGACAGCGCCGCATCTTGCGAGCAGAACAAGGCTGGCACAGATGCCTCGGCTGCAGCCCAAGGGGAGAGTGGGGAGAACAAACAGAGGATGGAGGGCAAGGTGGACTTGGCTCTGCTCAATGAAGACGACGACTTCGAGGAGTTCCCGGCGGAAGAGTGGGACGACGTGGATCCCACAACTCAAACCACCAAGGTTCCTTATTTATTATTTTATTCCTAGTGGTTGGGGTCTATGGCCATACACTTCATTCTGGGCTGTCCTTTCAAAGTATATCTGTTTTCATTGTCCGTGAGACGCAACCTTTAATCATCATACCCTGGGGGTGATTTCGATAGCTCTATATATAGATGTTAATTTCAGGTATGACATCAGGTTTTTTGAATTCAAAACCAACATTAATAAATTAACATCAATAATCTAATTTATTGTTTATTCAGTTTATTCAACAAGGTTCCTTAATCGGACTAAATATGCTGCGATTTGGGTATTAGTTCACATGCTATTTTTTCAAAAAAAAATAATTTTAATTTTCAAGAAAACAGTATTAATCAGCAAATTAAAACAACTGCTCGTTTTATAAAAACTGAACTAGGTTAAGAAAAGTCTTACTAGTAATTTTTCACTAGTGGATTGGCGCCGTATGTGTATCAACCTCTAACTATCTGTACTCATATTTTCAGAATAATATAGTTTCAAAGTCTGAGCTTTTGGTCGTAAATGGAACATGGCTAGTCCCGTCAGAAAATGAAATCTTTGGTTATATGCGCTTAATTTTTTTCTTTAAGTGTTCTTTGGAACGAATCGAAGATATTCCTTTTTTGAAAAGACTTGACATTGAAATTTGTTCGTGTAGGTGTGGGAAGATGACTGGGATGATGACATGATTGAAGACGACTTCTCGGTTGAGCTCAGAGCCGAACTGGAAAAGAGAGGATTCACCCCCAAGCCGAAAGCCACACCCATGGAGTCCAACTGACTCTTTATATCTGAGTTGACTATTTGAAATTTCATAAATGAAAGAGCTCAACATCATGTCCTGAAATAATGAGAGATATAGATAGTTCGGATCAGTGTGTATGCGAGATATTTTGTGGTGTCTCTGATATACTGTTGATTTTGTTTAAACTGTGCAATCATGTGAAGCCTCATTGTACCGTTTCTGCTTGTTTTTCTTCGAACATTTTGTTATTCAATCGATTTTTATCCTATTTCTCTTCACAAGATTCGCTTCGCTGCAATTTGAGTTTGGATATAAAGATTTAAGAGTTTAATCTGCAGCAAAAGTTTTATGTCCTTCAGCAAATTGAGTTTTTCTACCTCGTTTCAGATTCATATTTAGTTTTGTACATACAGTGGAGTGTGTGAGTCTTCTTTTCCACAACCAATCACATTAGAGTTAATTGGAAACTGCATCACTGTTTATTGCCGGCAACCATTGTCAACACTTTATTTAGAGTTGGTAACAAATTTATTGCTCAACAAAATTCAAATTTGAGATGAACTAAGATTTGTACTTCATATTTGAAATGAAAGTCCTTGGAATTTTCAAGTGGCAATGACATGTAAAGGCTTTCGTATCCGAGAAAGCGAAAAAGCTCTATTAAGTGCTAAAAGTGTTAATTTTTGGAAATATTAAAGTATTGAGAGTGAATTTGTTACCAATTATGCAGTACTGGTAGCCACCCACTTAGAAGTGTGAAATGTCTGATGACGACTGGGATGTGGACTTGGATGCTGTGAATGAGTTGACCACCGAACAGTCCCGGTGGGGCTCGGGGGCAGCAGCTGTGGATGAGTCACCACACTCGTAAGTTCTCAAAAGTCTCAAATGACTTCTTCGGTGTCCGAAAAATAAGACGACAGCTGTTAAGACGGCAACCGTTTTTTTATGGGACATCAAAACGACGCTACTCAGTTCTCCAATTGTATGTCTGAAAATTCCAGCTGTTCACTTTAAGTGTTTGAACGCTCATTTGTCGTCTAAATGTCTTGTCGTTTTAATGTTCTGTCGGCATATTTACCTAGCACCACATTCTTCTTTGCACAAATGGAGGTTGTCTTGTAACACAAGAACACTTTATTTTTGTTGTTGTTGTTAATTGACCGTAGGGGAGCGTCAAGCGAGCTAGGCCCGAGTTTCAGGAACCTCGCTACTTCGGCTGGCTATAGCCATAGGTTCATTGGGGAGAGTTCAGTCGTGTTTTTGGTGCAGTTAAAAAGATGAAGGGTAGTTTAGGCAGCAAGATTGGATAATTCGGGGGAAATTGGAGTAAATATTGAAAAACGGGCCATAGCCAGATCTTAGCTGTGTCGATTGAGGGAGCACTTCCTGAGGCAAGGAGACTTCAGGAGGGTGCAGTGGGGGGGGGGGGACTATTGGGGCAGAAACATCTTGGATGGCCATAGTTCTTGTGGATGGATTTCCGGAGTTATTTGAAATTTTTAAACGCGAAATTACTTCTGTTGCTGTTATCATTGAAAGAATTGAACTCTCTGCTCTCAGAAATTGACTTAAACGTCGGTTTAAATAGTCTTGTAGGGGAAGACAACCAATGGGAAAATGCAAGGCGTGAGATGGAAGGAGCAGCTGTCACTTGAGAGTAGCGATGATTTTGAAAAAAAATTTAATCATCGCTGCTCCTATCTTCTGCTGAAGTTTTTCAAGAAGAAATCTGGTGATAAGAAAGAAGTGTCGCAATTTAAAGTTCAGGTGAAAACATCAAAAATATTCAAGAGTTATTTAAATTGTCCGACCAGTTTAAATTGTCCTACCACTTTAAATTGTCCAAAGTGTCTGCTAAAACTTAGTTAAATTGCGCTCTTCAATTAAAAAGCGTAAATGGCGCGAAAAACGTGAACGACTTCTTGTTTCGAGAATGGAAGTTAATTATCAGACTTCTCAGCGGAAGATAAAATTGACCCATTGATCCATTTTTTTTAATTGGGTTTATTTTGTCAAATAGGGTCAGTCTTTAATTGCTCTTGAAATTGAAAAGGCTTAAGCTTAGTTTCGAAATTGAAAAGGCTTAAAAAAGCTTCGTTTCGAAAATTCAAGTGTTTTACCATCAATTTTTTTCGGTTTTCTTGTTCTTTTTCTCTTTTCCCTTCTATTTGCTATGTTTTTTTTTTAAAATTTCAATCTTGAATTGATCAATTAGTTTTAGAATTCATCTCATTGTCGAGAAAAACGGGCATTGAAATTATGATTTGCAGTCTAATTTACAGCAAATAAATTCGATTCGATTGAAGAAATTGAAAAAGCGTTTTCCTGCGTCCAGAAAAACTGCTTCGAAAAGCTGTTGCTGAAGCTTCAGAAAACTATGTTTTTTTGAGCTTGAAAAAGGTTTGCTAGCCTAAATAAGCGCTTCATCAGCCCCGAAAATCCACTAATTTTGAAAAAATAATCGCAATTACATAAAATTTAAGATCTTTGGATTTTGAAGTTTGAACATAAAAATGGTTGTTAAATTTCTATTTTAAAAATCGAACACCAATAGATCAGGATTTTGCTCTTTTGGAATATTTTCTGTGCTTATTTTAATCTAGTTATTTGTTAAATTGAACTTGTCAAATGCGTTTTTTTTTATTATTTCAATAAATGTACTTAAAAAAGTTTAGAATACTGAATTAAATATGCCGATATAATCCAGGTTTTTTTATCGCAACGCGCGAGTTAAAATGTGTGTAATTATTACATTTTCAAAAAATGTGTTGTTAAAAAATAGCTGCTTCAGGATGTTGCAGCTGCGCGAGAAAGTGCTGAGCAGTGACCAAGATGCAAGGTCAGCCAAAGGTTACGAGAGTTCATATGGGTACGGGGGGAAGTTCGGAGTGCAGAAAGACCGAATGGACAAGGTGAGCTGAAAGTGAACTCAACTTCAACAACAACTAACAAAAACCACTTAATATTTAGTGCCAATTATGAGGCGCCTAGCATAGTGGCACGGCGTTCACTTTCAGAAAGTCAGATCGAGTGTTCGATCCCTTGCCATGGCAATGATAGTGTGTCAGAATATCTTTCACTTGCCCTCTAGCTTCAGTCTGGAATGTCAGAATTATTACAAATGAACTATCTTTATACAGACCTGCTACGGCTGACTGATAGCTCCTCTGCGATTCACAGGAATCACAATTATCATAGTACCCTTAAGCTCCTTCAGGAGTCAAAACAGTGTGTTATTAACTTTTCGGCTAGTCCGTTTTTACGCGTTGAGCTGAGTAATAAATAGGCACCAACGTTAAAGGGAGCTGTAATAGGTTAATTCGGTTGATTCAAATTCGTTAGACAAAAAGGGTATTGCCAAAATATTGGGAAATTGCCAAATTGTAAAATAATACATATACAAGTGAAAAGATAGTGTTAAGTTTAGAATTTGCCTACGTCAGATTTAGTTTTTGGGGCATGTCGCAATAATGGTGTGTCTCATCTTTCATACTTTTTCCGCGAGAATTCAACCATTATCTTCTCCAAATAATGACTCATGGGGATTATGAAAGCAAGGCTAGTGGATTTGGGCGAGTTGGTGAGTCACGCAGATATTAAGACGAGGACTGTGGGTTGAATCCCACTTCGGTCATAGTCGGTGGAGAAGACGACTGCGAAAAAGAAGGTCACGGGGAAGGACGGGCCAAATAAAACAATGGGGAGCAAATTTGCGAATTTCAAATGGGATTCGGATTCTTTGTAAAGTTACTTTAAAAACGTAGATTTTTTATTGTGAAACTCAGTAGCAGGCAGGAAACAAGGTATCTATGCTGCTAGGCAACGGAATCACTTATATGAGAACCAGTCACGTTTCAGAAAAATGTATAAAATTAATGATAACTTTCCCTATCCCGATTGAGCAGATTGAAGATTCTGCCGTTTGAAGTGTAAGTGATTGGTATTAATTGGTGGTGTTGTGTTGTGTTAGGTGGCAGTGGATGCCAGCTACAAGGCAGAGATCTCGAAGCACTCCTCAGTCCTGGACAACAAAGTGGGATTCGGGGGCAAGTACGGAGTGCAGACCGACCGACAGGACAAGGTAAGTCAGATGAAGGGAGAATTAAGGGGGGGGGGGGGTTCGTATTCGTATGAGGGGGTACTACTATCAGGTAGGGGATGATTGACCGGAAATTTACATTAAGATATGTATTGTAGATCTGTGAACCAATTCGTGTTGATCCATGACCCGCTGTGGCATGGGTGTTAAACATGCGTTCCAAATTAAATGAAATTATACATGAAAGCAGTTGCGGATATGCGTGGAGTCAATTTTAGTCTCAACTTTGTATAAATTTGCTTAATTTTTCTGTTGAAGTTCGAATTCAGTTTAACAGTTTTTTCCCCCAAATCCCCCTCCCGTAACAATTCTATATCTGCGCCTGTATGGAACGTCTGCGGCAAAAATAATAGGTAAAATTGTTATGTAGGTCATTTTAGTGTTGGGTATTTTTAAACCAGCCGAGTGAATGGTGCTTTGTTTTAATTTTAGTCGGCAGCAGACTGGAGCTACAAGGAAGAGGCCCAGAAACATCAGTCTCAGAAAGACTACAAAACTGGCTTCGGAGGCAAATTCGGAGTCCAAACAGATCGAAAAGACAAAGTGAGTCTGATGAAGATGAGCTTTAGTTTGAATCTCAATTTTTAGTTGGTGAATAGGTTGGCTTCCGAATTTTTTGGGAGTTGATTTTTATTACAGGAATTTATTTAAAAATAAATTGAAAATGCATTTAAACTGATGAACTACCGTTCTTGAAGAATTATTTTACAATGGGAAACTTTTTACTGCCACTTTTTTTATTTTTAGCAAAGGAAGGATGAACGTTTTTTTTAACGATTTCTTAAAATAAATAAAAAGACCATGTTATAAGGTCCAAATGTGATCGTTCACTTGGGCCAAATATTATGAAAAGAAACATTATACAATTATTTGTTCTCTTTCAAACATTGTTAGTCTGCGATTGATATCCTAACGTGTATCCGAACCTGATATCCAAACGTGTTTAGTCTGCGGCCGATTGGTCTTATAAAGAAGAAGCTCAGAAGCATCAGTCGCAGAAGGACTACAAGAGTGGCTTCGGAGGCAAGTTCGGAGTCCAAACAGACCGGAAGGATGCCTCGGCCGAGACATGGTCATACAAGTCTGACAGCAGTAAACACGCCTCACAAACTGGTCAGTTAATCGAATGAGCAAATATACAGAAAAAAGTTGTCAAGTTTTAACAAGTGAGTTAAAATAGTTTTCCTTGTTCTTGTAATATCATTTGCAGTGATTGCTGCAAGAGATCTAATGAGTGGAGTGTCTAACGAGTGAAATTGTCGGCCTATGATTTGTCTGCTTGTGTTCTATCGGCTTAATTTTCACATCGTACTGTCGATTTGTTTAGCTGTGCGCAATATTCAATGAAGTTGCTTTTAATGTTTTGATTTGATCCTGAATTTGTAATTTTACTAGACTTAACTGCGTATGTTTTAGTTTTTTCTGTTTTTCGCTTAAAAATGGTTTCGGCATATATTTTATTGACTTAGTGAGCTTTCTGGGTCGTTTCAAGGACCGCATAAATTAAATGCATAAGTTAAATGCTTCTCAGGTTAAAAGTTACCTGAATTTTTTCGCCTCAGTTTCCGCTCGATGATAATTTTTAAATTTTCCTTAATTGTCGTCGATTGTAATTCTAGGCGTTTTTTTTGCAAGTACAACATAATTCCAGACATTTCGAATTTTCCTAGTTGTTACGTTTCGCCTCTGAAAAAAGTTTTAAATACTCAGGCTACTCGAGGGTTATTATAATTTTGGGTGGTTAAAAATGTTTAATACTTTTAAATTTTTCAGTAACGTCGATTTTTGGGTGGTTGTAATTATTGTGCTTAAGAAAAAATCACTATCGGTTCAAATTTTAGCAACTTTAGCTATTTCAGTGCTTTAGGAACTTAACTTATTGTGACTTTTAGAGTGCTTAATTTCGATTTAAAAAGTAAATAAATTCAAATTGATTTTCGATTTCGTTACCCCTGCGATAAACAAGGATGTTGTAGTCGGGGACTAGACTTCTCCCCCTTTAATAAATTTGTTTAGTGAAAGGTCAGAATTAGAAATAGTAAATTTATACTCTGTTCATAATAAACTCATGTTTATTCGCGTATCCAGCTCACTTGGCATGGAGGCTACCAATACGCTTGAGACGGCAAAGTTCTTGGGCTCGAATTTGACAAAACTTGTTTTTTTTTAATGGGAATTCTTCCGTTTCCAAAAAAGTTGTCGTCTTATTATCTGTCTGCTTATGTTTTATAGGCCTAGTTGAAGCATCGTAGATTTTTGCTGTAGGCAAATTATATTATAGTTTCTTTTAGTGTCTTGATTATTTCTGCTATTTGTAATTTTACTAGCCTAGACTTCGTATAGTTTCTTTTTTTGTTTTTTTTTCGCTAAAAAAATTCCTCGGCTCAAATGAATTCGGCCTAAATTTTTACCGGCTTAATGACCTAATTTTGGGTTGTATCAGGGGAATCTCAATTTTAACACTCCCCTCTGCACTTTTCAAATTGGTTGTATGTTTACCAATCGGTTGGTTGGAATTTCTTTTTTGTTCGCTATGGAAAATTAGTTCCATAATTTATTGGAAAATTTTAAATTTACCTCAGAAACTTCTACTGAATTTCAAAAAAGGCATCCATTGAAAGACCGCCTACTCCCTCGTGAGCCTGCATACTCCTCTAGCGTCTTTTTACATGACCCCACTGTCTACATTCTTCGAAAAAGTCTACATTCTTTGAATATTTGACCCATATTTTAATGAATAGAAAGGTTTAAAACTATCCCTGCTAAGCCCATTTTTTTAACACTAAGTTATTGACCCCGGAATAGTCAATTTTTTGATTTGACGTTTTGTCAATTTTTTTTCACTTTTCTTGAAAACTAAGCTCTCAAATCTGATGTCCTGGGTTCAATGGAGATAACGGACAGCGAGAAGCGCCCCATGCTTTAGCGGTCACTCAGAAAACTTGTTACACAAAAATTTATTTTCCTTGGAGGAGTCAACATTTTGATTTTTTGACCGTTATTTTCGAAAACTTTTCTGCCATGAGTGAGATTTTGGATTCAATTCACAGAGCCGATCTTGGGAATCTCATTTGCTTATGCGACTACGCCCAAACTTTTCTGACACCAAAAAGTATGGACCTCGGAAATTTTGATTTTTTTTTACCGTTTTTTTAGAAAGTTTTTGTTTTTTTCTCGAAAACTAACCTTCGAAATCTGCTATTTTGGGTTAAATTGAAACTACAGGTTGCGTGAATTCCTTTGGTTTAAACGGTTTCCTCCTATTTTTTTCACTCTAAAAGCTATGATTATCGAGAATTTTTGCATTTTTGACTTTTCTCGCTAGCTATTCTGTCAAATCTGATGTCATATGTTAAATAGGAACAACAGGCTGTTGAAAGTGGACGTTTATAATTGGTTATGTCCAGTTGGTTTACGAAAAAAAAAGTTATTGCCTTCGACAGTTGTATGGAAACTTTTTGACTTAACGCAAAAACTACCGTGCCAGTTCTCACGTTGTTTTCAATCGAGAAACTCGATTTTGAGAACCTTTTCAGCTTAAGCGAGCTTAACCTGCTTTTTGCAGTAAAAATTTATGGAGTTTGGAAATTGTTTTGACCGCTTTTTTTAAAGCATTTGGCCGTTTTTTAGAACTTTTAACCGTTTTTTTAACTTTTCTCGCCAGCTATCCTGCCAAATCTGATATCATGCTTTTTTAGTATAGGCAATTAATATTAATGCAGCATTGTTAGTAATGCACGAGTAAGATGACATGATGTTTTTTGAAACATGATTTCAGATGGTTCGAAGGGGTTTGGAGGCAAGTACGGAGTGGAGACGGAGAAGAAGGATGTGTCTGCTCATGGGTGGGAGGGAGGAGACAGGAAGCCCACTGTGCCCTCCAAACCCAGAGTGGAATCTGGAGTGTCTGTCGGGAGCGTCAAGTCCATGTTTGAAAAACCAAAGGTTACCAAATTTTCATTTTTTTTTTCTAAAATTAGAATAACTGGTCGACTAAATTTTTGTAAAAAACTGACCGCCAACCCTTGAAGAAATCCTAGACCTTGCTTTCAAACCCTAAAAAGTTCGACCATAATTTTTTCTTGATTTTTTTGAAATGAAAGCTAAAAGATGAATTATATCAAAAGTGATTTGGCAGAAAGCGAATTTTATAACCCGTAACTTGGATTTCAGGGCGATCAAGCGACAGACAGTGTAGCTAAATACAGAGCAGCGAGGGCTGAACAGGAGAGAAAGGAGAGAGAAGCACAGCTGGCTCGCCACAACCAGACGAATGAACACAACTCAAGGTAACTGCTACTTGTCTATCAGTTAGCAGCTCAAATTAAAATCTTCCGCAGCAAACAGATCAAAATCCTCTTCCATGAAGGGTCTAAATTAGTGTCTGATCTCGGAACCGGCAAGGAGGACGTTCCTCGGTACTAGTATTTTGGGATGCATCATCTGTTTTTTGGTATATTATATTCTCATACACAGGCACTGAAACTATATATAATAACAAAAAAGCAAAGGGTTTCCCGGGTTTATCTCAACAAAAAAAGCAAAGAAACCCGGGAAAGCTTCTCACAAAAAACTATGAAAAGTTTTACTTATGAACTATGGTGTCTCTGTGTTGCTGAGAGTGATGCACGTGCTTTTAAGCGCTTGAAAACTGTTGTTTCGCTCTATAAAAGAAAGTTTCCTTGCTTAAATATTTCATAGTCAGATCATGTAATCGATCCACTGCCATGGTAATGATAGTGTGTGAGGACAAGCTCTCACTTGACCTCCAGCTTCAGGTCTACCACAGCCTGGTCGAATTGGCTGTAATAGTGGTACCACGTCAAAGTTTTAGACGCAAAAGAATGACCGTGGGTCGCAAACAAAAGAGCTTCGTTCAACAAAAAACTCAATCTGGAATGTTTGGAAATCAGATAAACGGACTATTCTTAGACAGGCTGCAAAGCCTTTCATAAATCCTCTGCAAATCGCAGGAAAAACAGTTACTGTTTTAATCTGTTTCTTGAGAAAGCTATCATATATAAAAAAAATATAGGTGCTTTTCCTTTCAGTGCCTTGGTTACTGGATCAAAGGTTCCCAATAGAGCAGAAGAAGCGAGACAACTTGTGGCACAGTCCAAGGTGTCAGCTACTGCATCTCAGTTCAATCAACAGCCTATGATGTCATCAGCGCCAGCTCCGAGGCCCGTTCCTGCACGGCCAAAAGCAGCGGCTCCTCTGACACCTCAGACTGTCCAGACTCCTAGTCCAGTTGTAAGTGCCACATCAGTTGCGGATGAAAAAGCTGCTGCTCGTGAGAAAATAGCCCAAATTGAAGCGGAGAAAGCACGCCAAGAGGCGGAAGAGGAAAGAAGGCAGAATGCACTACTCGCTGAGCAGCAAGAAAGAGTTGCAATTGAGATGGAGCAAATGAGAGTGGAGAGAGAAAAAGAGAGGGAGGAGGAACAGGCCAATGTGATTTCATACGAAGCTGCACAGCCGGAGCCAGCTGTCAGTGCTGAATTTACCCCCACTATAACGGAAGGACTTTGCGCCGTGGCTCAGTACGACTACTCTGCTGGTAAGAAAAATTTTTTTTAGAAATCGTATAAATCAGAAAACTCGATGCTAGTAGTATCGATGACTAACAAACGACGTGATTCTTCTGTCGAAAGATCCAAAAATACCAAATTGGTATTTGAGCGCCCGTTCTTAAGGAAAGGCTTCTTTTTGTTTCGCTGATTTTAGTTTCAGCCAATCTGATTCGATCATTATACGGTCCAATTTTATAAATAACAGCAAGATCAGTTTTGGGCCGTATAATAAAAAAAGTCTGCAACGGGCAAGGATAGGTAATCGCAAGAATCTGCTAATACGTTTTTCTTTCTAACTTGCTGTCAAATATTGCAAAAAAATTCAATCATTTTAACTTCACTTTGTTTTTACTTGAACGTAAATGTGTCGATAAAACATGAGTACGATTCGGTTGATGTGATTGGTTGTTTTTGCGCAGCTGGAGACGACGAACTGTCGTTCTGGGCGAATGACATTGTGACGAACATCGACACTTCAGTGGATGCTGGCTGGTGGATGGGCAGCTGCAACGGCACCACCGGGCTATTCCCCAGCAACTTCGTAGAGGTCATCCAATCCACAAGGTTAGATCGTTTTCTGATAACAAAGAGTATTAGAAGCTGCTGGTTGGTTTGACCGAAAATGAGTTGCCAACGATAGATAGCTTGAACTTGAGTATGATGCAATTTTTTTTGGAATCCGAATCACGGCCAGTAGAACTTTAATATAATACCACGCCTCCTTGAGGTGCCCAAAGCCCACCAGCTTCCCTTGAGGTGCCCAAAATTAGGCCGAAAAACCTATTCTACGCCATAATTTGTTACTTTCAATTCGTGAATGATGGACGATGTTTAAGGTGGGCACAAGGTGCAGGGGTCAACGAGGGAGCTGTGAGCTCGACCATTGTGGGTCCGGAGGCGGAGATAGGGAAGAGTGACGGGGTCTACTTCGACCCATCTGCAAATGGTGCTGATGAAAATGCGCAGCTGGACTTGAGTAAACTCCCACAAGCTCTAGCCTTATACCAGTTCGCATCGGGTGAGCATTGAATATCTAAATATATCTTTTGTTGTATCGCAAGTGGAGCGAAAATCAGCTTCGCATCTGTGGATTACGCTTGACTCCTATGATATTTCTTTGAGGATTCCTACAATGATCCTCGCTAATCCTTCTCGCCCGTTTAGGGGGGGGGGGGGTAGGTCGGAACAAAATTCATTTTGTTTTATTTTTATTCTTGTTTTATTTAAGTTTTATTGAAGCACCCACAAGAAAGTGAACTATCATAGAGTCATTTAAAGGTGCTGAAAATCTGTTTTTTCATTGACGACAAGCACTAATGTTTATGTTGATGGTGCTGCATCTTTAGCTATCAAAATTAGTGAATACACGTACAATGTATTTATATCGGGAAGTGTTGGGGCATCGACTTTTTCAACAAGTAGTCTCTGATCTATCAACCAAGTTTTTTAATGAGCGCTAATGAGCAAAGAGATTTTCACCTAATTAGGTTGTCGTTTTCCTCGGAAATTTATTACGTCGTGAACGTAGTGAATACTCTTGTATTGATCTTTTTTCTCGTTACTTGCGTTCATTGGCTCTTTTCCAACTGTCGGTTGGCTATGTTTTTGGTCTGAAATACAGTCAGCTATTTTTAGCCCAATTTTTCAGTTTGATTTTATCTGGTTACAATATTTAAAGAAACTTTTCATTCTTGTTTTTGTTATTAATTTTTGCTCCTTTTTGTCATCGGAATAATTTTTGCATCTGAGCATGTGACGATGAAAGGGTGAATTTCGGATTCAGTTCAATATTGTGAAATAATCGAAGTTTTTCTTAATATTTCAGCATATTCAATTCAGTTTTGCTTCGCTTATGATTCGAAGCCCCACTTCGCCTCTGTCAAAAATAGTCATCCATAGTGGTTTGAAATAGAAGCATCGCTGTTCTTTCTTGAAATTCGAAAGCGTGAAACAGCTTTTACTCTGCACTGCATCCTTTTATGTATCAACTCTTTTTTAGTTCTCTGTAGGCATTGTTTTTTTCCTCTTCCGGAAAGCGAGACTTGTAAAACATGGGTTTAATAAAGCGGAAATTGTATTATGAAATTGCCGATTGTTTTAGATGACCCGCAAGATCTGGCATTCGAGCCAGACGAGACTGTGGCTGTGCAGAATTTGGACAACGAAGACTGGTGGTTTGGCTACATCGGAGAGCGACAAGGCTACTTTCCTGCCAATCACGTGCAGCTGCTAGGGTAGAATAGAGAGTAAGACAGAATAAGAAATTCAACTTGAACGTCAATCAAACAAGCCTAATTTAAACTCACAAGTCTATCTTTCTGATTTTTTGCTCTTAATTTCCAAAATGAACAACATATCCTATTGGGGTTTAATATGTACCAGTGCTGCTCAAGGAAATGATTTCCAATTTTATACTTAAATTAATCGTTGTTTGATTCTTGTTGAAATATTTATTGTAAATAAACATAAAAATTTAATTTTTGATTATGATTTTTTAACAGAGTTACGACCTGTGAACATCTTCGAACATGACACCAAAAGACACGCCACGTTTTTTCTAGACTCATGCAGAAAATGACTGAAAGTTTTGCTCGGGTGTTTTTTTTGTTTTCAGATAAATTTCAATTTTAGAGGGCATTCACTGCTGCCTGGTAAATAAGTATGAGCACAACAAAACTACAATTTTAATTAATATATTAGTATTAGGTGGTCGCAGATTCAAGTTATTAGCTGGATTTAATTTTGTAATAGCTCCTATAGGTGTGTTTCTTTGTCCGGTTTGAGCTCCAGCCAATTTTCGACTTTTTAGCCATTCTGAAAGTACTGAACGAAAGTGATGCCGAGTTAAACATTTAAAAACGATATTTACACAAGCAATGCTTCTTTTCCGATCCTAAGTCGCAAATATTAGTGCTCTTTTTGAAAGTGCTCTTTTATTGCAGTATATGCATAAGATCAATAACCAGCTATTAAGTACAGCAAATGCCAAGGATAGTAACACACACTATTGTATTACAAATAGCACTTTAGCTTCAAGGTGTTATGGTTCTGTAGCGTAGAGGTAGGAAAGAAGACCAGCCTCAAAATAAGAGGGTTCGCAACCTCAGCATGGTAGCAAGTTTTTCATGAACTTTTTCGTATACTAGTTGAAATGCGTCCCCTCTTTAAATTGAGGCATGTTAGTTGGTAAATTTTTTCAAATTGACTGGTACTACTAATGCGTCATAATTGGCTTGCGTCACTTAGCAATTATGTAGACTCATAATTGGCGTGCGTCACTTGAGAAGATTTGTAGACTCGAAGTTTTTTTCATTCAGTTTTTCCCAATAGCGTTCTTGGTCATGTTTTGCTTGTGTATGCGAGGTGCAAATTCGCCTCTGTTTTGAAAAATTGATTTTTTGTACATGTTAGTGATTTGAATTTAGGAAATGTGGGATAAAAATGCGCTGTTTGCGGCAAACTAAATTATTGCATTAGAAAAGCCTAGTAATTTTTTGCGAAGAATTTTTCTATCTAAGTCCTCATTTAATTTGGTGGCATTTTTGGTGTTTTTGAATTTTCTTCGTTTTTTTTCGAAAACTACTTAGCCAAATCTGAGATAAAGGCTTCAATTGAAAGAGTGAGTAGTTTTTTCTTCAAATAAGCGGCTTATCTTCTACTTAAGCAGAAAAATCACTAGGAATTTGCGTTAAGTCTATTTTTAACTTAAAAAAAAACTCATTTCCGTAGCAGTACATTATGATTTGAAAAATTAAAACTTTTGGATCCAGCAGAAGCTGGGCCACTAGTATACTTCCAAGCAACCGTGGCGTAGATGCGACGACGTGAGAATTCTGATCAACAGGTCGGATATTCAAATCCGGAACTTTTAAATAGTTTTTTTTTGGTTGAATTTTTGCTGCATAACATTGGCAATTTGGTAGAAAACGCAGCTGCTTTATTGGTGGCTAGTAAAAAAATTAAAAGCAGGTGTTTGAACGTGATAATCGAAATCTCATAAGAATTTTTTTTCAGAAGGTATTTTAATTTTTTTATTTCACTTTGTTTTGTCTGTTTAGAGCTCTACATTTTGCTTGGTTGTGTTTGCGAAGATTTTGAATGGAAAAGATTCATGATGCAACAACCAACAAAGAAAAAGTCTTGAAAAGAATCTTGAATCAGATTTTTGAACTCTATTATTTCGCAGCGACATTAATCAACGTTGAAACTGCTGGGATAAAATATTTGATTGATGAATTCCTTGCAAACTTTATTATATCGCCATATCCGAAAACAAAACATCAGCTTAAAAACTGCTTAAAAAACTCAGAAAATGTTGATTTTAGGTATTTTTGCCAATAAGCAATTGAAAACATCCCGTCAATCCCAATCACAATCTGTTGATGGCACGATAAAGCCTACTATTCTACGAAAAGTGTTCTCCAACTAATTCTGCGGCAGAAACTACGTTTAATCCTGAAAAAATTGACACTTAATTAGGGAACTGCAAGAAGGATAAAAACCCTTAGATAGATTTTCATGTATAGTTTTTGGAATGCAACAAAAGCGACTCAATTAAACTGATCTCAAAAAATGATATATTTCTGAGTAAATAAAATTAAAAAATGAAGCAAGCTTTGCTTCTGTGTGTAAACTAATTTGAAAAAATCCGTGCCTTTTTGAGAACTCATTCATCAACGAATGCCAAAAATTTTTGTCTTCAATTTCTGCTGCTTCAATCTTTTTTGCAAAAAAAATATGTGCCTTCTTGTGTTTGGCTTTTTAACTCACATTTTCTTATTTCTCTGTTTTTAGCCTAGTTTGCTAGTTTTGGGATTGCGTTGCTCCTTGTTACTTGCTGGAAAAAGTTTTCACTCAAACTTTTCTGGAGAAATTTTTCTCAACGTTTTTTAATAGCGAATCAATTAGTAGTTTGAAGGATGTTCCTATGTTGTTTGACATGAATCGCCTTTTGTGATTGAAATGAAGCGTTTTTGATGCCTCATTTTGCTGTAGAAACCGAAATTGGGCTTCAATTTTTCAAAACAAATTATATGCAAGAGCATATATTTCCCGAAGAAGATATGAATTTAATAACGCCAACTGTGATATGTGTTAACTAGACAAATTTTAGCAAAACCGTATACTGCATTTTTTTTTAGTTTTATACAATTTTTTGTCTAAGTATCTCTAAAAAAGAATACTTTGCAATTTTTCTTCAAATAGCTAACACTTGGTGCGATGTATAGACGCTCGCTTGAAGATGAATTTTAAAAGTTTGTTTTTTATTGGTTCTTAATTTTAAAATGAAAAAAGCAGCCACTAAGAGTGGAATATATTTTTTTCAATAATAAAGAGTTTTTTTGGTCAGAATCTCAAGATATATGAATGTTGACAAATTATATATTTCTTTTTTCCCATGTTATGCAAATATTGGTTTTGTTTTATTGTAAATCTTTTGCAATTTTCCCATCTTTTGTAAGAGTGGCTGCACTCTGTAAAAATAAATGAAAAAGGGCAAATCTGATCAATCTGCTAATCAATTTGTAGAATACTTTCTTCATGCTATTTTTTTTTAAATCGGGGAGTATCAATTGTATTTCGCCAGCGTTAATGTTTTATGTTGTCCGTTGGCGATTTTCGAAAACAATCAAACAAAACAAATTAGTTACAATAGATTTTTTTTCGATTGATATTTTTAATGATTAGCAGTGGATTAGTTGAATCATCAGTTTAATTCATACCAAAATTGAGATTTAAAATGAGATTTCCTCTTTTGCAGCCATAAAAGTTAACATTTGTCTTGTTGATTGATTATTGAAGCTTTTTTTTTGTAACTGAACATGTTGTTCCACTTATTACTTTGGGGAAAACCTGTGCTCATCTTCATGTTTAATCTTAGTTCCAAAATTTCAGTGTATTCAACTTTGTGGCTTAGAGAAAACTTTTTCTATCCGAAACAACATGCTTTTTAGAAGGAAAGCTGCAACCTTTATATAAATTAGTTTTTGAGCTCAAAAACGTCAAAAAATTCTTTTATATAATTGAAGCTGATAAATTAATGAAATTACTGAATAAAACTTTAAAAAATAATTAGGTTAAATAAAAATAAATTTAGTAAATTTAACCGTTTTATTGTACGGATCATTTTTCGAAATCAGAAAGAATTTTTGCTAGATGTGTTTTGTTTTCATTTCAGCGAGCCTAAAAACTCAAACTCCATCAACGAGCCTGAAGGGTCAAGCTTGAAATCATATTATAGTAATTTTAGCTACACGTTGGCTTAAACAATCAAAAAATTTATCAAATTTGGCATGCTTTTTCCATTTTTCTTTCGAAATAATTGTATGCTATTTTAATGTTTCTCTGAGTCCTATATTAGTTTATTGTTCCGACTTTCGATACGAAAGTAACGGAATATTTCAGCTCGGGGTGGGTTTTTTTTCTTCAGACAAATTTCGACTTTTTAACTAGCCATTTTTGACGGAATTTTTTTATATCATTCAAAAGGTATTGTTGCCCTGAGCTCACATTTGAAAAGATATTTCACCTGTGATCATTTTTCGTAACGTTATGGGGGCTTAAAGATTGCCATTTTGGCCAATTTGGGACAACTAGCGCGCGATATATTTCGCGCTATTAATGCGTGTGCGGAGATTTAATCCGTCTTAGAAATCGTTCCAAACTGGTTGAAAGAAGCTTATTTGCCATAATTGATTTAGCGAAATCTATCCTTTTCTACTTTATATGGCGTGTGGGGGGAGGATTAAAAAAATTCAAATTTAAGAAAAAAATTTTTTTATTTTATTTTAATACAATTAATTTTATAATGTTATTACTGCTCCATAAAACCCTTAAAAGGCAGTCGGAAGATTCAGGGCTTCGCCCTGATACGAGCAGTCTTGTTAGTTATTACCGTTGGTTAGAAATACATTCATCTAAATTATTTGCTTTTTACTGAAAAATTGCAATTGAAATTTTAGCAAAACACGCAAAAAAGTTTGTCAAACATGAAATATTTTTGATTTTTCCGTAACTTTTTTCTACCCGCCTTAACTCTATTTACCTCAAGTGCTGTGGTCACAATGTTCTGATATTCCTTGCTGCTTGCTCAGTAACCGGATATCCATTATGTTCATAAATCGCTTCAACCTAAATAGTTTTGTTTAAAATAAAATTAGCTCCAAATAGATAGTTTTGGCTTTGGAACCTGATCTAAACTATATTTTATGATTGGATAAATTAAATGTTTTACCAATGTAAAGTATTTAATATTAACCAATCATGATCCATCTAACTAACAACCCACTTATTTGTAAGTGCTGAAGTTACTTGTAATTTCAGCACCAGAGAGATTTGAATTTAACTTAGAAATTAGTTGGACTCTCCCGAGCACTTCAGCAGCCGCAATAAACCAGTATACCCTAGATCTATTGAGCCTAGCAGAGACTAGTTAAACAACCTGAGACTAGATAGTATAAGAGTAAGATTAGGATCGGTATTAGACTAAGAAG